CCCGTCGTATTCACCAGACATTGCTGCTTCTGATTACTACCTGTTTCGATCGATGGCGCATGGTCTGTCTGAGCAACACTTCACATCATATGAAGATACCAAAAATTGGGTCAATTCGTGGATAGCTTCAAAAGATGAAGCGTTTTTCCGACGCGGTATCCGTATGCTGCCAGAAAGATGGGAAAAAATAATGGCTAGCGATGGACAATACTTCGAATAAAACATTAGGTACCGTTCTTTCACAATAAATGTCCAATTTTTGATAAAAAAACGGCGGAAACTTATTTATACTCCTAATATTTATTACAATATATATTATATATTTATTAATATTAATTGAAATTAATAATATTATCATTGTAATTTATATTATTACATTATATTATTAGACGAAATATTATAAAATTAATAAAAAGGTTATGACATTGCTCAGCACTTATTATGGAATAAACAACAGACAATAACACACTGGTATATACCAAATTCCCTTACTTTTGTAAGTTCGGATCTACAATCAGGCTGAGTTCACTTTTCAGCGCTCACAAAACTTTAAGCGTCGCTTATCTTGATTATTAAATATTAAACAAGGACAATTGATGTTCACAAGCAATATAAGCCAAAATAAACGCAGTCTAGATGCTTTAAGTCTTAACCCATAAGAAACCAACTACAGTCGAATATGAGGAGAATAAGTGATTGTGATTCGTCCATTTCTTGTGCTTAAGGCTTAAAAATCTATTGTAGATCCAGGGTAACAGGTGGTCACACTCTGAGTATATTCGAGGAACGCACTATCAGTGCCATTTGTATAATATTATCCTTGTCTCACGTCTAATGGATGATGAAGATAGAATGACATAAATAGCGTTAATAGCATCTCCTTAAATGCAGCCTCTGTGTAATTCTCTGTTTTTGTACGATCTCACACTAATGCACACTGAGTAAGCACAGGTATTTTTGAACGACTGGTATGCATTGATGTGTACACTGATGTGCGTTTCCGAACATAGCCTTAGCAATCTAAGGCTTGGTTGCATCAACGTTACTTTGACTTTAAGCGAAACTTAAAATTCTCTCTGTCTTGTTTTGAAGTGAAAAAGAGACAGAGACAAAGAAAGTTTTAAGCCTCACTTAAAATCAAAGTAATGTTGGTGCAATCAGGCCTAAGCCTAGTGGAATATATAGAAGTCTATGATCTAGATTCTTTCTTAAACTATCTACATAAATAAATTGTGCAAATTTGTATTTACAGAAGCTCCTGGATATCTAATCGATCTAATGCATGATAAAAACCATGCAATAAGAAAAGTCTGTGATACATGCTTAGATGTCATTGCTGTAAGTAACTAAGAACGCATGCATTTTCTTCTTGTTTTTATAAATTTATAAATAGCATATGTGTTAAATAATACAAAAATAATTTATGTGGTGTTATAAGAATTGCTGATTATTCAACTTATTCTAGATATGCGACAAGAATTGGGCAGCCCGCATAAAAGTGGAAAAATTTCGATCGCATAATCAGCAATGGTTGGAAATGGTTGAATCGATAGGAACAGATTCGATCAATCATATGTTACCGGATGATGATGACAATTTATCTCCATTTATCAACGATGATCTACTAAAACATACTATATTATTTCCCTCTGGTAATATTTATTTTTTTCTTTTTTACGAAATTATTTAGCATATCTTTATAATAGATTATCATGCTCATGTAGGTAACATAGCATCATTTAATGTGGATGATGGATTTTCGACTATGAAACATTCATCAGAATCATCTGAAAATCCTAGTCGACCTGTTAGTAGGTACGTATCCAATGATGCATACATTTAATGCGACAGTGCAATGCATTAATAAATGAATTGCGATGACAGACTAATTATTTATATTTTTTAGGTATCGAGATTTCGATGAAATAGGTGAACTCATGACTCGTTCTAAGTCTCGCATGTCCGTTGCTTCAGGTATAGAAGATTTATATTATAATTCTAGAGTGAAATTCAGTGAATCAGATAATTCTCACATATTAATCTGAAAATTAATCCAAATGCCCTGATATAGATACATGATTTAACTTCTCGAAGATATCTATATTTTACATTATCTTTTACATTATATTTAATGCAAAAAAATGTTTGCTACTATTTAAAAAAATATGCCTGCTTAAACAGATTTTATTATACGTATTATAAACTGTTTTGACCTCATAGGACCAGTCTTACCAATTCCAATTACTATAATCGACCGATTATTACTTTAGAACTGACCAATCGCATTTGTTGTTCAACAGAATTGACCAATTGTGGTTGACACTTAATTGATCGATTAAGTTAATCAAAATTTGTGAGATCGGTCCATAGTCAAAATTTTAGTTTTATTTTTTTACGTATTTTTTTATATACATATGAATTTATTTATAAGAATTGACTTTACACTCTGATACATATAATACTACAAAATAATAGTATTAAGTTTATTTAGATCTCTCTTATCATGTGATAGGCTTCAGACAGTCAAAATAGTGTAATGTATGTGGTTAAATGTAACGTTATTTTTATGATAGCTTAGATCTTTCGTAATATTTATATTGTTAATATCAGTTAATAAAAAAACAAGTGATGTATGAAAGTACCGAACAATTTAGGATGCGTTCCGCTTGACGCTTATGGAATCATTTCATTCTTGTTATGTATTAAATATTGACAACAAGGACAACTAATATTCGTGAACATTGTAAGCGCCAAATGGTAACGCATTTTTAGAATAAGGGATGAATTATATATAATCTGCGATAGAGCAACTTTTTCTTATTTATTGTGTATAACATATTGTGCAATAAGTATGGGCATATTTAACTTCTGCACATATCTTTCACTTTCTTTAGAGAGTAATCAAACATATGTATTATGTACAGTCAGCAATTAAAAAGTTGCAATTTTCGACATTTTCTTTTTGAGGGTTTCAGAATGCAACCTGTTTACCGAGTAATTGGTTCTTATTTATGAATCCATAAGCTTGGTAAGTAGCCTGCATTCCGAAACCCATTGAAAAAGTGTTCCAATCTTTTAGTTGCCGACTGTATATTCTATGTCTCTTATTTTTTATTGCATCTCTCGTCTCTTTGTTATTAACTTATCACATTAACATAAAATGATATTTTATTATATCAACAACATACATGACTTATAGCTACCAACATCTTCTATTTTCTCGTGATAAAATAAATTGAATCTCGTAGATTATCGTATAGTGATTTACTTGAAAATATTTTCCTTATATAATCCAATTCCTTATTCAATAAAAAACTAAGTATTTCTGCTTGATTTTGATTTTTGACGTCAGAATCACAATATCGTAGTAAGTAGTTTAAGCAAATCTTTAGAATAGGGGACTCTCCCCCAATGACCTTGACCTTAATATATGTTGCCAAGATCATGACCCTGAGTGACCTCCAACAAATTCTAGCCGTCGCTCGTCCTTCATTAAAAAGTATTAACAAAAAGAATTTGAAAAAATAATGTGTTTTTTCGGCTATATATAACATCAGAAACTGTTCTAAACTGTATCCACTTACTACATTCCACCTCTCTCATTGCCTAGTAGCGCGCGACTTTTCACGCGAACACAAGTTCATTGCTTTAGCAGAAAATATGAATAATTATGTAATTTAAGGGAGGATTAAAGTTAGGTTATTATATATCCATGAGTATATATAATAATCTAACCCCAAACCATGCACCGTAAACCATATATACAGTAAAGCAGGAAAAAATTTTCTGTTCTAAGAACAAAAATTATGTAAGAAAATATGAAAGTCGTGCGCCCCCAAGTAAGGGGAGGGGGAGGTGGGGTGGAAGTCGCTTCGCGTGGAAAATTGTAAAATATACTTTAAAACAGAAAATTTTTGTTTTATATGGTGGAAAAAGTTTTTTCTTAAACTTTTTTTATTAATAACTTTTTAATGAAGGACAAGCGGTTAAAAAACTTGTTGGAGACTATTCGAGGTCATGACCTTGATAACATATGTCAAGGTCAAGATCATTGGGGAGGGTCCCTTAATTTAAAGATTTATCGTAGTTTCTTTTTATTTGAATGGCTCCTGCCTCCAAGGTTGAAACACATCTTCTTCCTTGTTAATGGCTCCCGCGGCGGCGCGCCACGATACGTAGGCGTATCCCAAAAGAAGGGGCGCTGGTGGGAGATTGATCTAGCTATATTTTTTGTATATTCACATTGGAAAGACAATAGGAGTCGACAAGTCTTGGAATAGGATTAACCAAACATGGAAAGATGTCATCGTTGAATTTAGGAAAGGACTATGTCCAGTTTGGGCCCTGACTGAACAGCATTGAGACCTAGCTAGGATTGTAGAGCATAAAAAAGGTATTAAAAAGTTCTATTTTATTTTATGAAAAATTTTTCATAAACAAAATAAAATAACGTAAAGAACGCCGAACGGTCAAAGTTAGATGTTACGAATATATTTAATCAATTTTTTGTTCCAAATGTGATTGCGCGCCGATAATTGTCGGACTTTCAACACAATCATTATGTGTTCTTATAATGTTTATGTACGCGATCTAAATAACGTGTTCTCCTATATACATCAGTTATTGCGAAGAATATTTCCGTAGCCTCAGTGGTCGATATGGCTAAGACACTCTTCCCGGCAAGTTGAAAGGTCCCAGGTTCGAACCCTGGCTGAGGTAATCTTTTTCGCAATAAGTTTCTTTCCGTTTTTTAGGGGTTTTATTTAGAGGAGGTTATTAAACGTTTCATAATGATCGTTCGGCGTTCTTTACTTTATTCGATTTATTTATATATCGGTCTTATAATATAAATAAAATACTTATTCGACTCATGTTGAACGTTCCAAAAAAAGGGCGAGTGTTTATCCGTCTTTGAGTGTTTATGAATGAAATCCATGGCCCAGTACCGACACATATCAATACGTGATACTGTACAAACCTCATTACGCGTAACTTCACCCGTCTGCCCTAATATCTTTTTCGAGCAAGAACTATTAATGCGAGTTAGCACACTGCGGAAACCAAGTTCGCGAATCGTTTGCTCGATCGTTGGATACGGCCAATGCTACACAGACAGAAAATTGAACGATTGTACGATAAGGCTGACGAGCGAGGACGACAAATGGTTGAGTTTCGAACAACCACAGCAGGAAGGAGTGCATCCCATTCGTTGTCTATGCCAATTTAGAGTGCGCTTTTGGAAATGACGGAATCCTGAATCGGCTACATACATATATCATCATCATAACGTATCGGATATTACATGCATTGTTTCTACGACGATACATTATGTATCGCTTTCGCCGCGATGAAAACTGCATCGCATGGTTCGCGGAAGAATTGAAAAATCTAGCGCACAGTGTACAGTCCATAATTTCGGCTAACGTACCTATGGCGGATTTCACGCGAGATGACTGGGAAAAATTCAACAACGATATGCCATGTGTGCGAGAAACCGTTCGCGCCTGACGATACGCGGGTACGCGATAATTGTTATTTAACCGGACGATACAGAGGCCCTGCGCACTCAAACTGCAATTATAAGCATTTGCGTTGCATACCCGTAGTGTTTCACAATTTATCTGATGTTACGTCCAAAGCCCTTAAAATTAGGTCAATGAAACAAGGAGGGAAAATGGAGAGGATGTGGAAGGACGGCTAGATTCAATCTCACAGGTATACGCGGAGAGGCGAACATCTGTAAGTCGTACGCATCTTTTCGGTCCCAGAATGTGGGTCAACATCCCGGAAAGAACGCTATGACACCTGTTCCGAGGGACAACGCGAACGTCGGTCCTACTTTTTGAGCCAAGGAACTTAATCCTTTTGATCCGGGATTGGACCTCGTGTGATCTCAGGAATTAGAGGCAGATTGATGCGAGGGCTAACTAAAAAAAAAGTGGAAGCTAGCGATTTTCAATTAATAATTAGCTTACATTTATTTAAGTAATGTTATTGAGTTTACAGACATATAAAAAAAATACAGGTTATAAAAAAATAAAATAAAAATATTATTATTTAGTAGATGTGTTTGTGTGTATGTGTGAGGAGAAATAAGAGGAAAGGAGAGTAGAGGTTATTGAGGATTGGAGGCGAGGAAGGTGGTGCAGGAGCACATTGGGACGAGGTGCTTGTATTGGACGGTATAAAGAGTGGGGTTTCCGAGGATATAGACTATCACCAGTCTACCTCCCTCGTTGGTAGGAGAGGATTACAGACGGAAAAGCCGATCCCAGCGAGGATCCGGTTGGAATGGAGGAGGCGGGAGCGGGTTTAGCGGAGGAGGGGAGGGAATCACTCTTCGAGGGAAGGAGAGAGAGGAAATCGGTCCTCAAGGGCAGGAGGGGAATAGTTGAAGATTTTCCTGATAGTGGGATCAAGTACGGGGGGAGAGATTAGATCAAGGGGCTTCGATCGATCGTTGACTGACGAGTGTGAGATTTCCAAAAAATCATCGGTTGGTACGCTTTGTGCTGAACGGCCCCGCCTATTGTCCCGGACGTAAGAGGTTCGCCCCCCCGGGACTTTTTGTGTGCGTGCGTGCGTGCGTGCGTGCGTGCGTGCGTGCGTGCGTGGATAACGAGCCGTACGTGTTCCCAGGAGGATCAGCGCCCGGCATTTGTACTGTGGTCGACTTAACAAGCTGACAATTGAGAGGACTCGGGCGAGGAGAACAAAGAGGGAGCCAATAGAGAGAATCAAGGCGAACAACAGCAGAAGGTCACGATGAGACGAACGTTGTCACTTGTAAAGTCGCCGGTTTCCGCGTCCGGGAGGCGCAATACTATCGCCAAATTATCGTACATATTATAGCGAACGCACGTGGCATTGCCGTACAGTGGATTTCTGTAGAATTCGGGTAAAACGTGTCGCCTCCCGGGACAGTCACTTATCGTCGGGAGAATTCTTTTACGTCCACCAAGGTCACAGCCTCGTCATTTATCATAAGGTTTTGTCGCATGTCATATTCTTATATTGTATCGTGTCGAAGTTCCGTACTGTAATATTGGTGTGTATCTCGTTTCGGAATCTTGCAGCGAAAGATTTGCATGTCTTTTAGAGTATCGGCACTCTGTGTCATAGTAATTAACGATAATGTGTTATAGTAATTAATAATTGCGCATATTCTATCATATCGAGATTGTATAGCGTCGAGTTTGCGTGTATTCTGTCCTCTGACATTCATTGAGCGGCGCGAAGGCCATGCCATGTTTACGCACACTACAGTCCTTATCATATTCTATCACCTGTGTGAGGCGGCGAATTATTGCTCGCCTAATTCGCGAAAATATCCTTGCGTTGCGTGAGCTCGTGCCGCTG